CCCCCCCCCTCCTCGCCGCCCCTTCCTTCTTTTCCTCCTTATTTCCCTATTTATGACGCTTGTGCACAGCAACAGTGGTTTCCGCGATCCGTACATCATCCTCGGCCGAACCAAGTTGATTGCCATGAATCGGGAGGAAATCGAACTCCTTATTTTCTACAAAAAATCAATTTCCTCATTTTTTACGTCATTTCTGGATCATTCGAGATGTTTGACATGTTAGGTAGGGCAAAGCAAAGATCATCGATTGCCCTTCTTTTCTAGTATTGTTCTCGAATATATCGCTTTTGGAGAGTGCGGAAGAGGGAGAGCATGGGGGTGGGCAAAGAGGGATCCAGGCAGGGGAGGGGGGACAGGTTCTTTCCTAGGTTGTTCCCGAATATTCTGTGTTTGGTCGGGCAATGTTATTTATAGGGCTGGAGTGGGGCACCCAGGGAAAAGGGGGGAGGGGGCAAAGTGATGATCACAAGGAGGGGTAGATGGGTATGGGCCTCTAGAAAATGAGGCGATGCCATTGTTGGGGCATCGAGTGGGGCAGGGCGGTGGGCTGATTTACGCCCTTTTGGCGTAAATCATCTTCCTCGACAAACTAACAAGTCCGCCACAGGATGCGACGACTTTCGACACAGGATGGCGGACTTGTTAGCTTGTCGAGGGAGAGGTTATGTGCAGATTTACGCCAAAAGGGGAACTCGGTGGCCATCTGGATTCTTTAAGGAGGACGACGGGGAGAAGAAGAGGGGAGGCTATGAGCGGTGTCGGGAGATCGCTGAGGCTAATTTCGGCATTTTTGGGAGCTAATTATTAGCTAATATAAAATTCATTAATTAGTTAATTAAAAATGTTAGGCCTAAAGTTAGTAGAAAATTCGGTTTTTGGGTGCCAGTATTGCCTTCTGTTTTTTCATTTTTTATTGGGAATTTCTTTCGTGTTACTTTGTGTTGAAAAACTGCCTTCTGCATCTTCACGTACGTGTTCATTTAATCAAAGGCCACACAAAAGTGCTGACCATTAAACAGTGGTCCTACAGTTTCTA